CCTCTCCACCGTCTGCAGCCAGTGTTCTCTGAAGGGAGTTCATCTTGGCCATCAGGACCCGCCTCGGGGGAGCACAGATGTCTCTTCCGTTGCTTTCCCTGTAAAGGGAATGACCAGTCCTCACAGCTGTGCCCGAGGTAGAAGGCGAAACACGTAAGGCGAGCTGGCTGTCCGGGCTTATTTAACCGCCTGCGTCTCCTAATGAAGCGTGGACTGTGGGATGCAGGAGCACCAGGCGCAGGCATCACCCAGCAGGTGTTCGAACGGCGCCGGTAAGCACTTCTGTGACGGCCTAATCAGTGTCCTAATCCATCCTGCAGAGCAGTCGTCATTTCTTCTTCATTAGCTGCGGACACATGGTGTAACGCAGCTTACAAAGGTGTTCCTACCGACTTCCAGGAAGTGTGAGTACCCCCAGGGAAGAAATGCCTCGAATGTGTCTTTCAAACACGCCAGTAAGGTGGGGGTTTTTTTTAAATAGACAGCTTGTGATCAAGGCTTAATGCTCATTTGTATAGGATAGAGTCGACTTGTAAATATTTATATTTGCGCAAATTCTTTACTTGGAGTTGCAGGACAGTGAGTCACGTAGTTAGAAGGATGAGTCATAATTAGTGTCATTTCTGTGTCAGGAAGCTACTTAGCAATTAAAATGAGTGGCCCATTCTCCCCACAAGCACATGTAGGCCTCTTCGTGTATTCTGTGCAGCTTAATGGAGATGTAATTCGCATGCGACACGGTGCAAAGGTTAAGATGTCACCTTAAGATGTAAGGTTAACAGGTAATGACAGGATGATCTGGTAAGTATCCATTGTGTACAGATCCCACAATAAGCTAAGCTAACACCTCATCTCTTCACATAATTCCCCTGTTTGGAGGAATGATAACATTTAAGCTGGAAATGACGCACTTGTTATAGTACAGTGATACTATAATCACACGTTTAGCCTTAAATATCTTTGAGTGGTGCCTGGTCAGTGTGGCTCAGTGGTTGAGTGGTGACCTATGAACCAGGAGGTCAGGGTTCAATCCCTGGCCAGGGCACATGCCTGGGTTGTGGGCTGGATCCCCAGTAGGGGGTGTGTAGGAGGCAGCCGATCAATGATTATCATCATCATCATCATCTCTCTCTCTCTCTCCCTCTCCCTCTCCCTTCCTCTCCCTGAAATCAATAAAAACGTGTGCATGTTTTTTAAGTTACATAGGATATATCAACTGGGCTTCGTGACGTCAGAAACTTGGAGACGGGTCCAGTCTCAGTACCCAGGGCTCAGAAAATAGTAAAGCAGTTTAGTAGGTGAGGCCTGGACACGTATCATGAATCCGGGATGGCGCTGGGTCCTACGCTGGTTGGAAGTAGGCTGGGGAAGGACAGAGCTGGTATTTGGTCTTGTGGCGCATGGTCCCTGGAGGCGTAGCAAAAGGGGGCACAGGAGAAGCGTCACCGGGTGCAGGCCTGAGCGGGAGTAGCCGCGCGCTTTGACCTGAGTTGAAGTCTGAAGAGGCCCCATGTGTTCTGTGTGGGGCTCGAGCCTGAATGATGTCAAACAGGGTAACACCCGAGTCGCAGGCCAGCGGACCTCCGCACACTGATGCTGCGGGGCTCATCTCGTAACAGAAGAGTCATGTTGCTGGTGAACTAAGGGAGACTGGGGGCGGGGGGGGGGCAGGGGGCGCAGCAGGAAAACATCACAGAACAGTGCGTGTGGCCCTTGGAGAATGAGCTCCCGCCGTAAACACACAGGGATGAAATTTTCACTAGTCAGATAGCCAAACTGGGCTCTCCCCGCTCTGCTTTTCAAAATGAAAGGAGGGTGAAGTGCCCATCATGGCGCACCTTTAACAGGTGCATGGTGGCATGGACACAGCAGGCCCTGGACAGGAGAGGCACCTCCTGTCGCTCGTGCAGTGTCATTGGTTTTGAGTTGTCGCGTTGGTCCTCCCATGTGTGACCGTGTGTAATTAGTTGTGTGTGTGTGTGTGTGTTTTCAATACATTTTTAATTGATTTCAGAGAGGAAGGAAGAGGGAGAGAGAGAGATGGAAACATCAATGATGAGAGAGACTCATCGTTAGCTGCTGCCTCCTGCATGCCTCCTGCTGGGGATGGAGCCCACAACCCGGGCATGTGCCCTGAGCGGGAATCGAACCGCGACCTCCTGGTTCAGAGGTCGCCGCTCCACCAGGAGCCACGCCGGCCGGCGGTTGTGTTTCCCTTGGAGCTTATCTGTGACGGTGTTGACTCGGTGGAGCGAGCTGACTGAGTTGTCAGCCCCGTGCGGGGAGCTGCTGTGCTTTCTGACCTCGCGGTTTTGTCTGCCGCGGTAATGAACCGTGAAGGAGGGTTTACAAACCTATTAAGACAGCAGCGCCCGGCGTCCCTGATTATCCCGAGTGACAAGGCCTCTCCGGTCCGTAATCCACGCCTGAGACCCCACACGCTGAGGATCCCGTTCCCGTCCACAGGCCGCGAGGAAGGTGCTGCTTCGCCGTCACCCGCCACCAAGCTCATTTCCGAAGCGCATTCCTGACGAGTTAACTTCCCAAATGTTTGGAACTGCACGTTTCCAGAGCGACGGTTGTCTGGTTCGAGCCCGTTCATTTTACAGGATTAAAAATCCGAGTGTGTAACTTCCGAGAGGCGGGCATGCCCCCGACCCCTCTCTCCTGGGGAGCAAAGGTTGCCTCACCCCATAGCTCCCTGCTTCGTGGTTCCTCGCCCTTCTTCTCTCCTGGCACACGGAGCGGCCCCCCGGAGCCAC